ATTCTACTCTTTTGACTAATCCATGTAATCCCTCAGCAACCATAAAAAAAAGAAACGGTGATAAAGGGTCACATTGCCTTAGTCACTTTGTTGGAATGGTGATCGATGTAGGTAAAGCTAGTGTACGACGATAGTAAGGTAGGTGGGTAGGCCAAGAAAACATCATGTTTAGTTTGATCTTTATTGGGGGCGGCGATCACAATGGTTCCATCGAGACGCAGCAATGCAAAGTAGTCACCGTTGGGAGTTAAAGGTGTAACAAGCGATTTCAGTCTTTTTTTGGCTATCATAACAGTATTTTTAGAGAAAGCCTGTGACTTAGAGTTTGGAAAAATAGATTACTTATGAAGAAATTAGGATAAAGGTAGTTTGAATGTGGAAGACATGGAAGAATTATTTTGGTAAGTTTAGGCAGTGTATCAGAAGAATAAAATAGAAGGGTGGGAGGTAATCAGGTTTGCTTGTATTTGGTCTTTATGGTTGTCCAAAAACAATCTTGCATTCAAGGAGAAAGAACTAGAAGCTGTAAGGGTGTTTTAAATTATCCAAATTAGATCATGGAATGGATAAAAGGTAAAAATAAGGGCTGGGTGATCTCACTTATAGAGTGAATGATAGATCCAAAGGAATGCATGAGATAAGGTAAGCGAGAAAAATGTGGGAAAGAAAGTGGAGGGGTATAATTATTAGCATGTGATAAGAATGTAATTGATGAATGAGTTGGAGTACCTTTTATATTTTAAACAAATAAAACCATATTTTATTATTAAAAAAGAAGAAGAAGAATGAAATGAAAATGAACCACCGATCTATCAATATAAAGCACTAACATTTTGTATTTTTTGAACATATCTGGCCGCTAGCTTTTTCTTTTTCTTGATAAAGTTGCGAGATTTAATTTAGGAGTAAAGAAAAGGGTTTAGACCAACAAAACATACCAATCTAATCCATCAAACTATTGAAAATGTAGTCTACGCAATAGTTAGTGCTTGAGGGCGTTCAGTGTAGGGGTTCTAACTAAACTATACTAAGCACGCCGGGTCCATGATTCATTAGTTTCAGGTCTCAAAACCATCGTTTGGGACTAACTCAATAACACTAGACCTTATAATTAAAAGCACAAATTCACTCCACTATGTCACTTGTTTCTTTTGCTTTAGTAATTTGTGTATTTTAATTTTATCTTAAAAAGATTATATAAAGGTTCAAAAACTTAGTTTTAAAATCTAAAATTTTGTTGATTTAACAAATATAAAATTTATTTTTAAATTCAATTGATTTTGAATTTAATTCTTATTGCCTCAAGTTTTAGAACAAATAATTTTCTTCTGAATTTCATTGATAAAAAAAAAAAGTTTGCACAACAAAAAGTAACCGGTAGTGGAGTGACTTCATTGTGGTAGGAAATGTAGTATTCATGGCCTTTCAATTTTTTATTTCTTTTAATTTCTAACTTGCTTTGTTACTAAAAAAAATAAAAAAATTAAAAAGAAAAATTCAAACGGCCCTGGGCCTGAGCAATTCCAAACCGGGTGAGGTTTTAGGCCTATGAAACTATTAACCAGACTGGCTCATTTCTCATCTGGTTCGAACCGATACATTGCCCGGATCAAGTCAACGAGCGTGAGCCCAAGTAGTCAAGGGCTGGCCTATTTAGTAGGAACCCCCAGTTTGGGGGAGTTTTTATGGAGTTTCAGAAATTAACAACAATTATTTTTTAAGCTGGTCATCTAGTAGGTCAGTTGTTAGGTTTGAATAATAAAAATTGTAAAATATTGTTTAAAAACATTAGTAATTATCTATTATAGCGAAAAATTCAATAACCTTAATTTAAAAAGAGATTTTTTCAGTGATTGAAGAGAATAATAACTTACACACTGAAATTATCAATTGTTATTCATCAAGGTGTGAAACTGAATTATAATAGTTGCTTCCTTACCAACAAACAAACCTTGTGCCATACAAAACCTTATCGCACGACTTACATCTGACAACAACGATGCCATCTAGAGAGGTTAGAAGAAACTAGGGGAGGGAGATTGTGGGTTCCGAAAGGGAATAGGGGTTTACAAAAGGATAGGAGTATGGGAGGTAGAATGGCAAGTTAAAATGGTATGGTATTAGGCTAGGAGGCTTGGAGAATGTAAGGAAACCTTATTAGAGGAGATGTGGCGAATTATTAGCCTCGAGAGAGGAGGATGAGATTACGGTGGTAGTCGAACAAGATGAGAATGATATTATAGTTGAGATGGATGAGAACTATTTGGTTGGTTGCCTACACACGAGGAAATTTTGAAATGTAATAGCGATTACAAAAATACTAAAATAGGTTTGAAGGATGTTCTGACGTTTCAAAGCTCCATCAAGTAGATAATAGGTTATATGTGTCTATATTTCTGCAGTTATATGATTGAAAATCTGCGCCATAGTTTATATCCTCTTCTTTTTTCTTTTTTTCTTTTTTTTTTACTAAAATACATGGAAATAAGAAAAAATTTCGAGTTGAGTGTCTTCCCCACTCTAGGCACATTCCATTTCTCAATCTCTACTTCTTCTTATGGAGTACAAGCATAAAACATATTCTTAACGATACATGAAGATGTGAAATTTTAACCAAATAATCAATTGAAATTGTTGCATTTCAAATAAAGTAACTAAATCAAAGCATAGAATGTTGTTTTCCTATTTTACTTGACTAGCTATGCGTTTTTTATGAATTGGAATGAAAAACTGCAACATTAAGCACCAAGCTAATATAGCGTTTCCATATATTAAAAAATTTCCATCAATTGGTATTGAATTTATTCATGGCTGTTAGGAACAAAAAATAAGAAACATTCAAAGAAAGATTTATTACTTTCTTATATTCATCGTATATATAAAAATTCTATATTTAGATTTAAGGTGTGTTTGG